TTCCAAGCCTCTAGACAAAGTTTCATGTCTTTAACCAATTACAGGCCAAAGAATCTTTTAACCCACCTATAACCTGTAAGCCCCCGCTTTGAGATGGCCCACCTTTTCGGGCCAAACCAATATATGCCTCCCACGTATTGATTTATGGCTTCACCTGTAACCCCTGTCTCCCTGAAATGTATAAAACCAAACTGTAACCCAACCTCTGTGAGTCCACTTGCTCAAGATCTCTTGGGCGTGGCTCCGGGTCATGGTCCTCAAATTTGGCTCAGAGTAAATCTCTTTAAAATTACTTTACAGAGTTTGGTCTTTTTTTCTGTTGACAATCGCTTGAGCCCAGGAGTTGGAGGTTGCAGTGATCATGCCGCTGCCCTCCAGCCTGGGTGACAGAGTAAGACCCTGTCTCAAAAATAAGGGCCTCCATCCCTCCATCTGAAGGCTATGGCACAGGGAGGGAGGGAGGGAGGTGGCCATCATTTAGGCCTTGGTCCCAGCAGGGCCTGAGTAATTCAGGGCTTCCCAGCTGGGGTCCCAGAGTGGGCAACTGGGGGGTCCATGGAGGTCTTGGATTGGTGCGTGACATTGTGAGACGGGTAATGAGTGTTTCCTGGAGAGAGGCCCGTGACTTCCACAGAGGCCTGGGACAACCCTCCCCCCTCCCCGCCCCCTGTCCCCCTCAGGGCAGAGTACGCTTTGTGCGATGAAGGCTCACACTCACTTTTCCTAGCCAGGAAGAGGCAGAGGTGGGGTTAGGAGGGGTTGTGGCAGGGGACGGGACAGCCTCTTTTCTGAGTCCACAAAAGGGACGCCTTGAGATCCTGGCTTACAGCTTTAAAGCCCGTAAACTGCAAACTGGCTTTGTCACCCTCTCCTCACAGGAGTTTATGGCTTCCCCTGTTCTTGAACAAAAAACAAACTCATGCCAGCCTTGGCACCTCCAGGTTTCATCCCCCAGTGTCATCCATCCTTGCCCTCCAGGGTCTGGCCCCACCTTGGCCTCTTTCTGTCCTAAGAGCACGCTGCTTTCTCTCCTGCCTCAGGGCCTTTGCACTGGCTGTAGCCAGCCTCTCTTTCTCTCCCTTCAGATCTCAGGTCAAATGTCACCTTCTCAGAGAGCTGCTCCCTGCCCATGCCCTCTCCAATCTAAGTCAGGGCTCTATAATCGCTTCCATCCCTCACCCTGTTTGTTACCTTTCACGCTCCGGATTTATTGTGCGTCTCCTCCACTGGACCTTGTGCCCCCTGGGAAGTGGGGCCTTAGCTGTCTTCTTTTTGCACGATCCCCTGAGGCTAGCTCAGGGCCTCGCACACAGTAGGTGCTCAGCAAATGGTTGAATGCCTTTGCCTTCCAGACAGTCCTCTCTGGGCCTGATCCGGGCTGACTAAGGGTTAATCAGGTTATAGTCACCACAGCTGCTCTTTAGCAAGCACCCTCCAGGCGCTGTGCCTGCGGGAAGTGCTTCGAATGTGGGGTCTCATTTGATCTCACATGCAAAGTGTCGATTTTTCTGGAGTTAGGAATGCAAGACCAGGGACTGGTTGCAGTGCTAAAGACGAGCAAACTGAGACCCAGAGGGGAGAAGGGACTTGCGGAGAGTCACACAGCAGATCAGGGCAGAGTGGGGAATAGCGGCCAGAGTGTGGGATGTTTTCTCAGGTGTTCATTGTTAATATGTTGCCATGGGTCCTACTATATCTTTAGGAACAAGGAAATCAGTGAACATGCTGTGGTTTAACTATCTGCATCGAGGCTGGTTGTCCTTTCAGGAGTCCTTGGCAGGCCATAGCATCGTAATAAAAAAAAGTATTAACACAAGCTGGTTATTGGCCGGGCGCGGTGGCTCACACCTGTAATCCTAGCTCTCTGGGAGGCCAAGGTGGGAGGATCATTTGAGCTCAGGAGTTTGACACCAGCCTGAGCAAGAGTGAGACCCCATCTCTACTAAAAATAGAAAGAAATTAGCTGGACAACTAAAAATATGTAGAATAATATCAGCCAGGCGTGGTGGCGCATGCCTGAAGTCCCAGCTACTCGGGAGGCTGAGGCAGGAGGATCGCTTGAGCCAGGAGTTTGAGGTTGCTGTGAGCTAGGCTGACGCCACGGCACTCTAGTCTAGGCAACAGACTGAGACTCTGTCTCAAAAAAAAAAGAAAAAGCCGGTTATTGAATACCTCCTATGTGTCAGGCATTTTACACACATTGTTTTATGTAATCCTGCAAGGTAGAGGTGTTCCTGCCCCCGTTTTGCAGATATGGGAACTAAGGCTCAGAGAGGTGAATTGGCTTGTCCTGGATCACACAGCTACAGAAATACAGAACCTGGGTTGGAACCCCCAAACTGTTCGGCGGTGGTAGTAGCTGGGCGGACAGCGCCACCTACCGGGATCGCAGGAGCTGCGGGTGCTCAGTGCGCAGGCGCGGGGGCGGTGTGGCCCGTAGCCCGAAGCTGGAGGGCCGGCGGCGTGAACGGGGGAACCCGTCAACTGTGAATTAAAATAAAATCTTAAGGCTCCCCCCAGCCAGCTGACTGAATGGACCCCCTCCTGGCCGAGGGGATATCCAAAAACCAAATTCCCTGCCAGGAGGAGGGAGGTCAGGCGTGCCTCATCATGCCCCCCTCCCTTCATCCTTTGTAACCCATTAACAGGCCTAAGGGTATACAAGACACACCTGCAGGTCCTCGATTTACCCAACAAATGTATGTCTCGTGGCTTGTGTCTGACTAACGGAGCTCCTTAAAACATTCCAAGCCTTTACACAAAGCTTCATGTCTTTAACCAACTACAAGTCAAAGAATCTTTAAACCCACCTGTAACCTGTAAGCGCCACCGCCTTGGAGATGACCCACCTTTTTGGGCCAAACCAATGTATGCCCTCCATGTATTCGTTTATGACTTTACTTGTAGCCCCTGTCTCCCTGAAATGTATAAAACCAAACTGTAACCCAACCGCAGCGGGTCCACTTGCTCAGGGCTTCTTGGGCGTGGCTCTGGGTCATGGTCCTCAAATTTGGCTCAGAGTAAATGTCTTTAAAATTATTTTGCAGAGTTTGGATTCTTTTCTGTTGACACAGCCAACCAACAAAACATAAGAGAGGTGTCCCTGCTCCATTCTTCTATAACCCTCTGGGAGGCTGAGGTGGGAGGATCGCTTAATTAAGGCCAGGAGTTCGAGGCCAGCCTGAGCAAGAGCAAGACCCTGTCCCTACCTTTAAATAACAGAAATTAAATAATTTATAAGTGAAATTACAAAACAAATGGCAACATTTAAGTTAAGCCTCGCAACAACCCTGTGAGGTGGGGGCCAGCGAGACCTCCGTGTTACAGATGAGGAAACTGAGGCTCTGAACAGCGAAGTGAGCTCCAGTTCCTTGTCTGTATTACAGATGTGTTCTAATGGATTTGAAATATTGTATCGAAATGGGCTTAGTGAGTTTTAATTGAATGAATCAATGAGTGACTCAATGAGTGAACCCTGGTCAAATCCGGGGGCCAATTCGGGTTTCTGTGTAGTATCGGATTGGCCCGGATCATAAGGCGGTTTCCCGTCAGTGGGGACACCCTGGCAGGAGGTGTGCTGGAAGGCAGGTTCACTCTGTCAGCTGGCACAGAAGACATGAAACCCCAGCGCCCCCACATCTGGCTGGGTCACCCTGGGCGAGTCCCGTCACCACATCCCCAGGGGGTTCAATTTCCTGATCTGATAAACGCGGCTTCCAATCCCCACATCTCAGATGGTTGTGAAATGATGTGTGTGAAGCACTTTGGCAGGGCTTGGTATACAGCTGGTGCTCAATGTGTGTTCTGGGAGGCAGAACTCAGTCCCATTTGGACAGGGATGAAATGCGAAGGCATAGATGCACTGTTGGCTTTTGTCTCTGGGATCAAAAACTCAAATTGTTCCCAGGGTCCCAGCAGGTGCCCAGGAGTGAAGGAGGCTGGTCTGGGAAAATCTCTCCCTTCCACAAAGGAACTGCTCTCCCAATCCCATTGTATTATGCTAGCGACACAAAGAAAAATCATTGGGAAAGGAAGAGACGGAATTCTTTTAGTTTGCTGGTAGAATTTTGTATTTGTAGGAAACCCAAAGGAAAAAACCTAAAAGGCAATTAGAGCTCAGAAAGAACAGTAGCATTCCTAATATCAGCAATATTAGAAAATATAATGAAATCGGAGACAGGAAAAAACCTAGTTCAGGCTTGAACCTCTCGGCCACGCCAGAGGGAGCTTTCCAAACTGGATATCTGCATATATCCAGATATGTTAGATTGTGCACAAGAGCCTTGAAGGTATGCCATAAGTTTCAGGGTCAAGTTCAAACCTCTTGATAGTGCAATGTCACACACAGTCTGCTCTGGGCCAAGCCACCAGGTCTTTGCCTATGCCTTGAAGTGTCCCCTGCCCGTCCTCTGCTAAGCTCCCCCCGCCCCTACTGAGGCTCAGTGCAAGCCCCTAACTCCCTAAGATGCATCCCAGGATGTGACCTCTCATCTATGGTCCCAGACTCCCTCTGGGCATTGAACACTCGATATCATCATTATTGATTTATTCATCCATCCTGCCCACTACACTATATGCTCTGTAGAGCAGGAACAAAGTAAAATAAATATTTCCCTCTACATTTAACTCTAGTATCAGAAAAAAATATCAATCCATAACAAAGTGCAAATAACCATTGATCACAAGTCTGGGAAGGCAATAGGGATGGGTGAGGACTGAGGCAAAGTGGAAAATAGATCCTTCTCCCCCTGCCCAGCCGAGGGGGTAGTTATCTCTCACCTCCTGCCAGGCAGCCTGATTTTTCAAAAGAAGCTAGAAACGCAAGATTTTTTATGTGAAAATGCCCAATTTCTCAGTGTAGCAATCAGTTCTATCTTTTAAAACCATGGAGGCCAGAAAACAGGTCCTTGGCAGAATTTGGTGTGTAAGGGTCATCAGCTGTAACCTCTGATGCAGAAAAAAAAAAAAAAAAAATCAAGAACCAAAACAGCACACAGATATGATTCCAAAATAGAGATTTATTTATTAAGGATTATTTAGTTTCTGCATAAAAATCACCAATTGTTCCTCATTGGGTTTTTTTTTTTAAATACACATCAATTCTTTTGGGGTTGCTCTGTTTGCCCCAACACTTTAAAAAATACAGCTCTTTTTAACACCAGGAAGGACAGTTAAGGCAGTGAGGCGTTTCCTTGGGTCTGAGCGCTGGAAGGTTCATCTCTCCCCCTCGAGAGGATGCACATAGTAGGTAGTTTCTTAGGTTGGAAAAGCTGTCCCTGAAGAAAATAATTCTGCAGAAGAATTCACATACAGTCATCTGTGGCCAATCGTTTGTGCCTCATTGCTTTAAAAGAAACGCCTCTTGGTCATCAAAGGCTTGCTGGTTGGTTTCAGCTGTTAAAAAAAAAACTGTCTGGCAAAAGACAGTCAGAAAGAGCAGGGTTTATAATGACACTGCTGTGAGGTCAGGCTGTGCAAACCACATGAGAACGCACACCAGTTTGCTTTTTTAAAAAATCCCACCATAGGAGCCCTGCGTAATTTCAAATCAAACTCTTCATAGTCCTTAAAATACCCAAAACATCATTCGGTGAGATCCCCAGGAGGACACGTGCTTATTTTTAAAGTCAGATGGATGACACCATTCCCCCAGAGTCGTGTTCCTTGTTGGAGAAAACAACAACAACAAAAAAAACCCTAGGACTTGATTGATTAGAAACGTTAATCGATTTTTACCACGCTGAAATGAAGGTATAAAGTCAGTCTGTGCTGCCGTGAAATTCGGAGGAGATTTGGAAGTCAGGTTGTTATTTATTGCTCCATTAGAATAGACCAAAAAAATGGACTTTTAAAAAACCAGGGCCATCCCCTGCAGGCCCGAGCAGGACCCTGGGCAGCTTGGGGGGACGCGGGCCAGGGCGGCCCACCGGCTTGATTCACAGTGATTCGGGTTCGCCTGTTTCTGCAAGTGGCCGCGTGTCGGGGGGAGCGCCTACACCTTGTAGTTGAGCTCGGCGTTCATCTTGCTGTACATCTCGTAGATGACATCGATGGTGGCTGTGTAGTTGACCAGGAAGAGGCGGATCTTCTCCAAACACTCCTCCTCCGTCACGTTCTGCCCCTTGGAGAGCGCTTTCAGGAAGTCGGACTTATAGGGGGCTGCGTACAGCGCTGCCTTGAGACAGGCAAGAGGGGGACAGGCACAGCGTTAGCGGGGACTGAGACACCAGGCCAGCACTCAGGGGTCTGGGAGGGGACATCCCCGAGGTCTGTGTTGGGCAGGAGTCTGTGCTATTCGTGGCGTTGGAAGGGAAAGGAAAAGGAAAAGGAAGATGTGTGTTCCCTTCTACCCCCGTGCAGGACAGCAGGAAGGACATCGGCTCTGGGGACAGACAGACCTGAGTGCAAATTCCAGCTTGTGCCGCCGACTAGCTGTGAGCCTTGAGCAAGTTACTTAGCCTCTCTGAGCCTCAGTTTCCTCATCTGCAAAATGGGGATAATAATGGCACCCGCCTAATCAGGTCGCTTTTATTAGGATTAGGGAGGTCGTGCAAAGTGTTCAGCATAGCACCAGGCATACAGAAGGTGCTCAACACAACACCAGGCACACAGCAGGTGCCCACTGTAGGTACACCTCTTCCTTCTGGGTTCCCTGCTCTGGAAAAGGTGAACTGCTTTTTGGGAAAACCCACTTTCTGAGCAGGGGAGATGACCACAAATCCGTGCTGTGATCTCTTTTTTGTCCTTAGGGGGGCGACACTTCCCTAAATTTCAGGGCTGCTCTAATACTTGGAAAAGTGTGGAGAATCAGAACTACACAGAATTTCACAGCCAGAAGAAAAAAGATGCAACCAGATAAAAAGCTTAGGCTACGAGTTTGATAGGACGATGAAAGTATAAATAATGCTGTCTTTCCTAATAAAAGTAGGAATAGCTCTGATTTACCGAGTGTAAACCCGTGTTCTGCACGTTTTACAGGGTAACTCATTTAACCTTCCCCATGACCCTTTGAGGTAGGGCCTACTTCACACCCATCTGAAATGGGGAACTTAGGGTAAGGAGGTAGAATCGCAGCCCCCCATTTTTGTATTATGTGACCTCGAGCAAGGTCATTAACTTGTCTGAGCATCATGGTCCTCAGCTGTGAAGTGGGGCTGAGAACAGTGCCCACTTCGTGCTGCGTTTGTGAAGATTACAATTCGTGGGTAGCTGCCCTGGGCCCGGTGCACAGGACGCATGGTTTTTATTGAGGGGGTGGATGCAAGGGTTTGCAGGGGCCACGTGCTGCAGGCAGGGTGGGGCACCCACCTGGATGCATGGCCCAGAGGTGGCCGTGTGACCTGCCCCATGACCAGCTCTTCTTGCCTGGCTCCCAACCCAGCGTGCCTACGACCTGTGGGTGAGGTCGCGCACACTGAGATGAGGGTGCAGCGAGAGACAGGTGGCCGGCAGCAGCGAGCAAGGTGGCCCTAGGGGCCCTCAGCCCACCAGGCTGGTGCTGAACCTCCACTTTCAGGAGCCCTGGCCAGTGTCATCCCAACACAAGCGACCAAGAACCCTGAGGGCTGGTGTCCTCCCAGCACATGCCCCCATGGGGACAGAGGCCCTCCTCCTCCTCCCTGCCCAGTGTGAGAATGCAAGCTGAGTCCACGGGGCCAAAGAGGTGGCCTCCATCACCCCGAGTGCTTGGTCTTCACTGTGGCTTCTCCCAACCGCCCTCAGCCAGGCCTCCCGGGCCGCGGCACCGAGACGGACACCGCGGAGCACCTACGATGACATCCACCACGGCCATGAACAGGGCCGGCCGAGCGCGCACGAGCGAGACCCCTCAGTGCACCGGCCCCCCGCCCCCGGCTCGCCAGGGCAGCCCTCCCCGGGCCCAGCGGGGCAAACACAGGCTCCGAGAGGCCCTGGCCAAGCAGTGGCGGAGCGCCCCTGCAGGCTGGCAGTGCTTCTGGGCCGTGGGCGTGGGTCACCTGGAAGATCTTCTGCACGATCCAGCCGTGGTACTTCTTGAGGGCCATCTCGTAGGCCTTGGTGGCATTGACGCGGATGAGGTTGGGGTGGTTCTCGTCCCGCTCCCCGTCACAGATGCTCTGGAGGAAGACCTGGATGAAGCGGAGGCCTCTGCGGCCCCGAGAGGAGACGGTGCTTTAGGACCTTGCGTGTTCCTGCCTCGAGCCCGCACACCCCTGTCGCGGCGGGCCCTGAGGTGCCCTCAATGAAGCCAGGAATACGTACACACGGAAGGGGGCGCTGTTCCTGAACTGCTATCGACCTGCTCAGAAGCCCAACTCAGCATCTCTCGAGCACCTTCTCTCCACTGGGCCTGGTGCTGGCCTGTGACAACGGTCCCGCTGGCTATAAGATCCCCGAGGGTAGGGTCTGGGTCTGCCTCGTCCGTCTGTGTCCACGTGGCCTCTCGTGGGCCAGCACATGGCAGGCGGCCATCACTGCTTGAGGAATGACCACAGCACTGGCCTTCAAAGGGCTCTCGGCCCACAGACTGTGGACACACTGGCGAGACTGGCCCCATGCCTGCCTGGGCTCCCCGCCTCTCCCCTGCAGGGGGGAGGACCTTGCTAAATCTGCTTCGTAGCTCCCCGAGCCATTCCGTGTCCTCCCACGGCCATGTGAGCCCTTCTTCAAGGAGTAGGGTGATGCCAGAGGTTGTGGGCTCCAGCAGGGAGGCCAGATCAAAAACCTGACCAGTGCCGGCCCCTCGTGCACGTGGTCTCGTCTCTTGCTCCCCTCGCTCGGCCCTGTGGAGCTGAGCTCAGCACAGTCAGGCCATTCCACAGAGGGGAGCACTGAGGCTCCCCCAAGAGGCTCAGTCACAGGCCAGGACGTGAACCCAGCCTGCCTCGCCCCCAAGCTGGGCTCCTTCCTTCACTGACCCTCGCTGTCCCCCTGGGGTCCCCAGATGAGCTGCTCTGCTCCCTTCCTGCAGCGGGGTGGGGATCAGGTCGGGGCCAGAGCACTAGGCTTAAGGACTGAAGAATCTGTAAGTGGCAGGGAACAGTGTGGGTTTGAATCAGAAGGTCCCACCCCCAGCCCGTAGGATGCATTTGTGCAAATTAGATAGAAATTAGGAAATCCTTCTCCTCAAGATGTGTATTTTTGTCAAACTGTCATAATATACAAATCCACTTTGTACATGATGTGACCAGCCCTGAACAGGACACGTCTGTGCAGTACACAACATGCACAACTGTGCTTGGATGGCCTCCAGAAGCCCCTGCGGCTCCCGCTGTGAGATGAGGATAGCTAGGACACCCGACTCACAGGGTAGGAAACTCGATCAGGCGCGCAGGGCTCAGCGTAATGCCCAGCATGGCGCACGAGCTCGCTTGCTACGCTCTGATGGGATTGCAACAAGAAAGTGTCGCTGTGCGTCAAGCCTTGGCTCTTGGGAGCCTTTTTCTCAGCCATTGATGAGCCTCACGCTGGAAGGGCTGGGGAGGGAGCTTCCCTCCCAGCCAGAGCAGACACCTGGAGTGGCTGTAAGGCTTTGCCGCCCCCCCACCCCCCGCAGCACAGGTGGCTGAGGCCCCATCACCCGAGCCCGTTACCTTTTCAGCCACATCAGCGCCAGCGTGGCTCCCACTCTGGGCCACTCTGCTCCGTGCATTTCTTTCTCCACCTCTAGGATGTTCTGCAGGGTCCGGAACTTGGCTGGGTTGGTGTCATATACAGCTTTGATTTTCTGAAATGGAACACACGGGGTTTTCCCCTTGGAGAAGCAGCCGCCATAGGTGGCTGGCCTGCAGGCTGAGTGGAAGAGCACCTGGGTGGTGCGTCCCCCTCCTCCCAGCCTGCCAGGAACAGCGGGGACAAGGCTTGTAACAGTAACAACCACGACTGTGCACATTTATGGAGCACCTGCCACGAGCTGCGACGTGCAAGGTGTCTGATGGGCACTGCCTTATGTTATCCTCGTGGCAATCCTGATGTCGCTCTGTCATTATCTCGATTTACAGATGAGGATGCTGAGGCTCAGAGAGGGGCAGTGATGTGCCCTGGGCCACACAGCAAGTCCAGGTTGCAGTGGGCCCCAGCCACAGCCAGCGCGAATCCACGTTCTCCAAGCACTACCGCCACCCAGTGTCTGAGGTGTCACTTTTGTGCACAGCTGGAAATAGGCTGTGGTTTCAAAGACGTCCAGGAACAAAGGCCTCTGAGTTGGAGCCGGGCAGGCCTGGGTCTCAGTCCCAGCTCTGCCACTTCCTTGTTGTGTGACCTCAAGTGAGGCCTTTGAGCCCTCTGAGCCTCAGCTTCCTCACCTGTAATTAGGGGACAGCAACAGAACCAGCCTCTAAGTGCTGCTGGGATGAAGAAATGACATAACACGGCGTGTCCCAAGGCCTAGGTTGGGCCCTAACTGGGTCCCCATGGGGACAGGGTCTACGGCTGGGGGCACGGCATCGGGGACTCCAGGATTGGGGACGGGGAGAGCCAGGCCGATGCCACACGTGGGCTTTGGAGTTTAGTTCTTATTCAGTGGGGGTGGATGAAAGAATTCGCAGGGTCCTCATCGGGCCAACCCTTTAGATGCCCCCCCAGTCAGGCCGTGACCAGGTGGCGCGATGGCGAAGCAGGACCGAGAACCCTGAGCCCCGAGTCGGCTGTGCTTGGGGCCAAGCCCGTTCCCATGTCTCTTTCCCCTTCCTTGGGCTGGGGCGCTTGCGGCTGGGGGCCGGGCGCTGGGGACCCGAGGCGGGTTTAGATCCTGACGCAGGGGCCAGGGCTGCGGCTGCCAGGCCGCGAACGTACCGTGATGTTGCCACTTATGTCCGCCTTGATGGGAGTGAACACCGGGGACCCGAGGCAATCTGGGGACAAAACGAGAAGAGAGAGTCAGCTTCCCAACGAGGGCGACATCCAGGACCACCACGGGCCATGGAGGCCTGGGGACATGAGGGGAGGTCACCTGGTGTGCTGGGGGGAGGCAGAGCTGTCCACAGGTGTGACAAAGGCAGTGTGGGCGGGGCACGTCCCCTCGGCTTTCCGAGCTTGCTGTTTCCCACTCGGCACATGGGGCAACAGAACCTGTCACGGAGGTGTGACGAGGATGACTTGAAACAACCCATTTCCAGGACATGCATTTTGCTCACCTCCGGAATCAGAATGTTCTCAAGTGGTGGCATTTTCCCTTTCTTGGTGGGTCGTAACGCAATGGAGCCTTGCTCCATAGGTGACACCTTTCAGCTGATGAAATGTTTGCCTAGAAACTGCCTGGCAGTGCCCGGAACTCCAGGGCTCCGCATGAAATGTGAGCCGCCCTGTGCTTGCCTTTCCTCCTTTATTACCCCCGTGGCTGGCTGTCACAGGCAGCAGGGACACCATGCCTCTCAGAGCGCCTTATAAAGGCCTGGCATGGGAGAGACACGTGGGTTCTCTACTACGCAGGCTCCACGTGGACGTCCCCCTCGAGCCTGAAGACAGACAGCTGTGTTGCCCCAGTCCCTTCCCACTGTCCTCACTGCTGAGTCCACAAAAGTGGGCTCACTACGCCTGACACACGGCCCGGGGGACAAAGACCCCAGAGCAGGCCAGAGGCAGGTGCCAAACCCCCAGGAGGGAGACGCCAGTATCCATGAGGTTGGGCAGGGCCCTCAGTGTGGGTGCCAATGGACAGCTTGGGGACGGAGGGCTGTGGGAGGAACTTCTGCAGGCCGAATTCCACCCCAGGTGACCCAGCACACCTCGCCAGCCATCTGGAACATTCTAATTGCAGCTGCGAAAGGAGGTGTGAGGGGGAAAGAGCATTAGACACTTTAACCCAGGGGGAAGGAGGTGGGGGTGCAGGGATGCAGAGAGACGGGCTATGAATCTTCGTCCCTGCTCCCCGGCTCAGCACGCCTCCTCGCCTCTGTGTGCCTCAGTTTCCTCACGTGTCAGATGGGGCGGCAATAGTACTTATCTCACAAGGTTGTCATAGAAACTAAAAATAATGCATCAGGCTGGGCAAGGTGGCTGACGCCTGTAATCCCAGCACTCTGGGAGGCTGAGGCAGGAGGATCGCTTGAGGCCAGGAATTTGAGACCAGCCTGAGCAAGAGCGAGGCCCCATCTCTACAAAAAATAGAAAAATTAGCCGGACGTAGCATCACGAGCATGTAGTCCCAGCTACTCGTGAGGCAGAGGCAGGAGGATTGCTTGAGCCCAGGAGTTTGAAGTTGCTGTGAGCAAGGCTGATGCCACGGCACTCTAGCTGGGGCAACAGAATGAGACTGTCATTCATTCGTTCATTCATAAATAAATAAATAAAATGATGCCATTGAATGCACTTAGCAGAGTGCCCAGTGCATGTTGAACACTCAATAAATGGACTTTAATCATTTTTTTTTTTTTTTTTGAGACAGAGTCTCACTTTCTTGCCCAGGCTAGAGTGAGTGCCGTGGCGTCATCCTAGCTCACAGCAACCTCAGACTCCTGGGCTCAAGCAATCCTACTGCCTCAGCCTCCCAAGTAGCTGGGACTACAGGCATGC